TTTTAATTTTGTTTGATTTTAATGTTAAATAATTAATATTTTGATGGAAAACTTTAGAAAATYCTAAGAAATYTATTTTTAWTCCTATTTTTCTATTAATACATCATTTTTTTGTACTTTTAATTACTAGAAAGTCATGTCATTAGTCATATATCACTAAACTAATAAACATTGTATAAGTGATACATTTTCTTTCAACAACAATAAAATCAGTTTCTGGTTATTTATGATTTTATTTAGTGTAAACATTTATTATGTTTAAATTATAATTTATTAATAATTTATKCTATYAAATAATATTAAGTAGATAACAATTTTAATTATATACATYTATATTATTARAAAAMATATTAAGTTAAGTTTATTACTGTAAATATTTTAAAAGTAATCTTGCTAATAAAGTAAAACAAAATTAAATAATATGCATTTTGTTTTTAAAAGAATAATAATTTTTGAAAAATATATAATAGTAATTATATTTTGAAACACTAATAATTATTATTATAATTAACAAAAAAATGTAAACTATTATACATTAATTTTTTTAATAAAACACTACAATACAGTATAACATTAATGATTTGTGTAAATGACATTTAAAGTTATTAACACCACCGAAAAAACATTAACAATAGTAAGCCTATTGTTAAATCAATAACTCATTATTATTTTTTATAATATTACTAAAATAATATTTTGTTATATCAAACATATATAAATATTATAAAAAATTATRTATAAGGTATATAAGATATATTTTAATTGATAAAAAAATACAACGTGTAATGTCACAATGTATTATWTTTTGCTTATAACAATATAAAACTATATCATTGTTGTTAAAAAACAACATTAATAAATTTACTTGAATCTTTTGTGTTAATTTTTATTTTGTTTAAAACAATTATTTTTTGCTTAAATTATATATTGTTTTATTATTATAGTTAGTTAAACAAAAAAAGCATAAACAGTCTATTGTAAATTATTAATTAAACTAATTATTATTTTGCCCAAACTATTATTTTATTTATTATTAATTTTTTATAAAATAAAAAGTTTTATTTTCTAATAACTTATACTTAAATACTKTATAATACTATTATTTTATGATATGAATATGTTTTAAACAATTTAAAAAATCTGCAATCTACACTGTATAACAATTTTGTAAAATGAATTTTTTGTTTTAAAAAAATAATTATAGGAAATAATTAATATATTAATAATAGAAAATCACTAATTATACATTATATCATAATTTCTATTGTAATATGTTGATAATCTATAAATTATAGCAAAAATAATATTAATTTTTTTGAAATATTAGTAATAGTTATTGAATTTGTGGTTTATGCTTTTGTATTTATGTATGTATGTGTGTGTGTATGTATGTGTCTATGTATGTGTGTGTCTATGTATATGTGTGTGTATGTATGTATGTGTGTGTATGTTGTGTGTGTATGCGTGTATGTATGTGTGTGTAATATACCGTACAATACATTTACTTTACGGTAATATCAAAAGATATGTTTCAGAGAGTTAGACAAACAAATTCAATATAAATACATAACAGATATATTGATATATACTTTCTATGTATTATCGATATAAATATAAAAAAATTCATTTGCTTTTATGATAGCATTTTCTTTTTCATTTTCCTCTATCACTACTTTTACTACTCACTCAAAGAGCGGRTAAGTCAACCAGTTATTGTATGATTGAATTGTTTATATAATATTTTTTGTTTGTTTATAGATTTTTATTTATAGATTTATAGATATAATTCATATACTATATAAATAAATAAAAATAAATTATATATATATATATATTATAAATATATATATTTATATTATATATATAAGTATTAATAAATATAAAAAACATATTGATAGATATCAGTGACTAAGTAAACCCATTGACTTATATTCATTCACACACATACTTGTATATACTGTATATATATATATATATATATATATATATATATATATATATATATATATATATATCTTAATCATTGATGACTTTCATCTATATTTTTCTTACTTATAAATAATATCATAGAAAAGCAAAACAACATCTGATTAGTTGAGTGTATGGTTTGTCAAAATATATGGCTTCAAATAAGATGACATGTATTTCTGACAATTATATAATACAATACACGATAATCATGTTATACAAGTAATTACAACAACGAGATTGTCTGCAACTATTGATCTCAACAAACTGTAACAACAAAATTCATATATAAATCTAATACATTTAATAATAATAAAAATGATAMWATTATCTAATTAAAAACAATTACTTTAATTGCTAGTTATATCAATCAAAATATTGTGCAATTTTTTGTTTTTACTAAAAACAGAATTTTAAATTGTTTTTTAAATTTATGTTAAATTTTATTTTAAAACTTTTATGCTTTATTTATAATTTAAAATATCTAGATTTTTAAAAATTTATATCTCATGATATTATTAACATTTATTGGATATATATATATATATATAAATTCTGTATTATATAAATTTTTTAGTATATACTTATATATATATATAATAGTATTATAGTTTAAGATTTATTTCAAAATCAAATATAATATCAACGATTACAGTTTTGCCATCTATGTATTATAAAACATAATTGTTTATTTCTATCAATAATATTATTATTAGCATTAGTTTTAATTTAATTATTTGATTTATATTATAATCTATGATATTATAAGTTTTTAATAAATATATTTTACTGAAAAATTTGTATTTAATTTYATATTAATAATTAAAATAACATATTGCTATTTATAAATATTATATATTTTTTAAAAATAGCAATTATGATATGAATTATCAGCATAAAAATAATTAATAAATGAAATTTAAAAACAATTTAATAATTTAATAATATTTTATTTTAATCCTAAAAATAATTATACATTATTTTATTTATTTATTTTTTTGATATAATAATTAATAATTATATATATTGAAGTAAAAATAATAGATGACTGAAATGATATAATACTGTATTTAATGTTTTATTGTTAACAATTGTTTATTTTTCTACAAATTTTTAAAATAAATTAAAGTTTAAATTTATTTTTGTATTTTTATCGTAGAGTACATAGCTACAGTAGTTGATTTAATGAGAGTTTCAAATTATAATTATAATCAAAAATAATAATTATTATTATTATTGACAAACAATTTACTTTATGTCATTTCAAATAATTGTATACTAATATTTTTTGTTGTTGTAAATTATTAATTGTTTTTTTAATGTAAACTTATACAATAGCATAGTAAATAGATTGATCTAGATAACATAATAAAACATATTTAACATAAATTTGGCAATTATTATAAATATTTTGTTTTTATTGAAAACTATAATAGTTTTTCACTAATTTTAATGGACAGTAATTGAAAATCAATGAAACACAACCTAATTATTATTATCTTTTTTATATTTCATTTCAATTAACTATTTGACAATATATGGACAAATTGTTTGATAATAATTTGAAAATAAATATTTGTTATTATTTTGTCGGTTTGTTGATGACTTGGTTGGCACTAGGTATATATATATATATATATATATATATATATATATAATATATATAGATATATATATAGATATATATATAGATATATATATAGATATATATATATAGATATATATATAGATATATATATAATGGGGTACTTATATATATGTAAATTATTTATTACATAACTATTGGGAATATTTAATTAAGACTAAATTATTGATTATTTATAAATAAACTTATAAATAAACCTATTAATATAATAATAATTATTATTAGTAAAATATTAAATAACTAAAATTTATCTAATTATGTTTTTTAGTTAATGAAATATAATTTGATGATTTTATAAAGAATTTTTAAAAAATAATATTTTGTATATTTGATGACAATTAATGTATATTATATTATTAATTTTTTTTAGTGAATTACATAATTGTGTTTTTGTGTAGTATTACACTAATAGGTCTATAATATCACTAAATATTCTTATATTTGGCCAAAAAATAAAATACAAAATATATTATGATTTTAGTTTAAAATTATTTTTTCATAAATACTTGATATCAAAAAGATTGAGAGATTGTGTGTGAGAGTGTGAGAGTAATAATTATAATAAATATTTTTAACAATTTATTATTTATATATTTTTTGTTTACTTGATTGACACAAAATATATTTATAGACTATCTTTAAAATATATATAGTTATTATTTAAAGTGTATATGAAAACATTTTTTTTTGTTTTTTAATATATTTTAATAAATATTTTATAACTTTACTTTTTTAAAATTTGTTTTGAAATAATTGTTTTTTGCTATTATATATATATATATATTCAATAATTATTCGTTAGTTATTTCTATCACTATTTACAATTTAAATTATTACTTATTTCTTTACTAATTTGCTATAAATTTATAGTTACTATACGTTTATATGCATGTCATTAATAAATATTATGTTAAAAAATAAAATAAACTCTATAATAAATGTTTTTTTTCAAAAAACTAATTTATAATAATAACATTTGTTATATTTTTTTGAAAAGTTTACTGAGGTATAGAGTGAATCATTATATAAATAAACAAAAAATATGATATTATTTCTAAAAAAATATTCTGGTATTAACTATAAAATTATGTTTGATTCTAATGGTAATCTAAATGATCATGGTCAAATTAATGATAAATTGTTCGATTATATCAATTTGATTTTTTTATGAGTGGATAATAATAATAATAATTTTTGGAATCAAATTATATCAGATATATAAATGATTTTTTTTTAAGATTAACACAAGTCTTGGAAATATATTGGAAATATTTATATATATAATATTTATGTGTATAATATATATATACTATTATATATTGTATATATATATTTAATATATATATATATATACAATATAATCATTTTTGGCGATCACTTATATTTGTTAGTATTTTTCGTACTCTTCATAAAGAGTTTCCGATGTTTTCGCATAACTTGGAGGGTTGTGTTGCTGTTGCTCTGGAGGATGTCCACCTCCCGGTGCAGCACAATAATTAGTAGTAGTAGTAGTAGTAGTATTAATAGTGGTGATTGCGGAGGCAGTGGCGGGGACTGCACCACCCGGCGCCGTCGTACCACTATTTCTATTGTGATTATTATTATTATGACTATTGTTATTGTTTGTGTTAATATTATGAGCGGCTGATACAACACCAACACCGATAGCACCGCCACAACTAACATCACTGTCACCGACAATACCTGGAGAACAGGTAGAAGGTGTGCTGTTGTTTGAGTCGATTATTGCCGCGGCGGCGATCACCCCAATAGGCTGTGCTGGTTGTTGTGTTGGTTGTGCGGTRACGGGTGTAGGTATACTAGTTGGTAAGCCTCTTGTGGGCACCACAATGGGCACATCGCCCACCGTATAAAATATGTTGAGTTTGGCGCCACCCATACGTGGAGGTGCTATGACGTGCATCTTGTGTTCCTCCTGTTGAAGCCTCTGTGCCATAGCTGCCTGTGTAAACCTGGCATGGGCGTTCCAGTGGGCGGTGTTTGCATCGTCAAAACACAGCTTATTGACAATACTGGCGCTTATGTAGACAACGATTAGACAGATCACCGAACCGACGATCACATACAAGAATTGAGACCAACCGATACGTGTGCACGACTTGACAATAGACAGTATGACTATCAATATAAGAAACGATAGCCAAAACAGGTCTTCCAAGCCTTCATTGGGAGTGTTCATTGGGTACATAGAAAATGCAACACAAAAATTAATTTTAATATTTAGTGTTTTAGTAAAAATTAATTTTAATATTTAGTGTTTTAGTAAAAATTAATTTTAATATTTAGTGTTTTAGTAAAAATTAAAAATTCAGGAAACAGTTGTTAGTTTAAGAGATCTAAAGTAMATATATGTCTATAAATATTTAAATAGGTTTATATATATAATTCATATGACATATAACATATGAGTGTTAGGGGGGGAAGACATACCTAATTTTGCTTTTTTCCTAAAGCAAACTTTAAAGCACTGGACACAGGCGTTGGCCACCTGATCGCCGCCACCGCCGCCTTCTTCACCATTTTGATGGTCATCCAGACTGTTCTCTTTGTTATTGATGTCATATTTCATTGTTTTCATTACTATGATTACGATTAATTGGTATGTGATTGTGTGTATATATATAAATATATATGTGTTTAGTCTAAAAACACATACACCGCACATACACTTATAGACAGTTGTGTTGTTTAGAGACAATAGTCAGCTAAATATCTATTTAAACAAATATCAATAATACATATAGTCATTAATACATTGTTATATAGTAAAATATATATATATTATATATATATAAAGAAATTATATATAAAACTATATAATATACTGTATACACCAATTTCTTGGCTAAACATAACATTAATGTCTTATTAATTGATGAATTGCTTGTTTATCCTTTAAATTTTAATGTATTTTTTAAAAGCAGAAAATAAATCAATAAACAAAATCAAACAGACAATTAGCTAAATGATATATTGATCTCACATTAAGCAACAATAATATATATCAATATATAGTATTTAAAATTATTTGCTTACATTTAATAGTAATATATATAAACTTCTAAGGATGTTGTCGATGAATAATAGACATTATTATTATTATTATTATTATTATTATTATTTTAAGTAATAATTACGTAATAAACACTTGTGTTTATAAAACAATTGTTACGTTAAATGAATTAAAAATAGAAGAATATTCTTAACAAACGTTTGTATACATAGATATTCTCATTGCATCTCATATTTACTATTGTTTAGTACTGTATATTAGTATATATATATTCATAGAGACCAGTGATAGCAGTGACACATACATACAAACTGAACGCCATGTCTACTATAACGAGGGTAAGCCCTAACCATATACTGTAGAAGCGCGTCGTTTGCCATCAATGTATAGTAAAAAGTGTATTATTATTCCCTTTTAAGGGAATGGTAAGTATTATTTCGTCGGTTAAATGAATGCCATATCAATGAGAATGAGAGAGTGAGTGAGTGTATGTGTGTTTGTATGTGTGTATGTATGTGTGGAGCGCCTGTATATATATCATGAGTTGTATGGCTGATGCCATTGATTTAGCGGTTGTTATATGGACTGACATACAGCGATCAGACCATAGCATATGATTATTGATCCATTTTGGCGTTGATGCTCTGACTCATACATCCCTGTGCCGCATCAATACATCTCTCTCTCTCTCTCTCTCTCTCTCACACACACACACACACACACACACACTCACTCTTACATACAAAAACAACCATCAAATGTAATGTTGATTTTCCATGAATTGATACTACTAGTGTTCATAGAAATTGTATGTATATATCATATATACAGTACACAGACACACACTATATATATATATATATATATATATATATATATATATATATATATATATATATATACTGTACTCTATCTATACTCTTGAAAGTATAGTATATGCTATACTGAATCTATTTACACWTCCCATTCACGCATTTACTCCTAATAACAGCACACATACATACACTTATACACAGTGTGTTGTGATTACAGTGTTAAGCAGTCATTTGTGGGCTCATTAGTGTGAAAATCGTAGAGATTTAGCTATAATTTTAGAGTTGAGAAATGAAAAGATTATAACTTGTATATACAGTATATATATAAAAAAAAGGGTAAAATATTTATTAGAATTATATACTGWATATATTATACAAAAATAAATAAATAATTAAATTACCTTAAATGTTGTAATATTTTTCATTGAGTTTCAATTTATAATTATATATTATTAAAACATATATTTTTTAAAATTATATAATATTTAATATATATTTAGAATATTAATATTATAATTAAATCATAGTATTTTATTTTACATTGTGTATATTTTACAAGTAATTAAGGTAGATTGGCTTAAATACATAAATAATATATTTTTACAAATTGTATACAATTTTGGACAATTTTTAAAAAGATATCAGATAAAATTTTTGAGTTATCAAAATTATAAAATATTAATGAAAATATATAATAAAATAAATTTCTATATAAATAAATATGCAATAATTATATACTCTGTCAGTGGCTTTACATTTAATATGAATTTYTATTATTTAAATAGGTTTCTAAAAATAATTATAATTATTAATACAATGATTTTTAATGGTTTACATAAAAGTACGATTATGTCAATCAATGCAAAATTATACACATTGTAAATATTATATTCTAAATAACTAATAAATATTAAATACAAATCTATTGTTATATAATGTTTTATTTGTTTTATAAGTAAAATCAAAAACAATATCCAAAAAACCATTAATATTATTGAAAAACTTTTAATGTATTAATAATAGATGAGTTGCCATTTGAAACTTAGCTTTAATAATATTGTTACATTTGAAAAATTATATTTGCTTTAACTGTTTGCAAACTAATCATACATATGAGTATTATATCGGAAATGTTTTTCAGCAACAAAAAAATAGTATAGTGTTTTAATTTTTTTTACTATTTACAAATAAAATTATCTATTGATAAAATATTGTAAAAATAAGCTAATATCGTAATATATATATTTTTTAATYATTATCTTTTTAATATTACTAAATTATTATTATTTTATAATTACAATATATAATAATTATAGTATAGGACATGTATTGCCATAGAAAACTAAATAAAAAGTTAGATCTCCGCAAAACTAACAGCACATGTATCGACCGTATGGTTCACATAACGTTTTTCGTAATTTGTTTGCTGATATGTTTGTACCAAATGTCCAAAATATGTCACCTGTATTTCTCATACCCGACCACAACTAGTGTGAGCTATGAAAAAACATCTATAATACCGTTGCCGGCAATCACTATATGYATTGCAAAGCAATATTTATTAAAATCGGAAATTATCGACCAATTGAATGCCAATTATACGGTCATCGGTGCAAAACAGGCGCCCAATGTATGCTTTTCTCAAGAGAACGTCTATTTGAACCGACTGTCCATTCGTGAACAGTTCGATAGCATGTATTCGTCCGACGAGTTGTTCAACAACAACACATGTCAAGTGAAAATACCAATAGGTTATGACACCCGTGGAAACAATAGTATGTTTTACGTGCCGTGCGATCACTTGTCAMCCATACAACAGTCGATTGATTACTATAAATCTTGTTTCACGTTTTTCACACAACAAAGCGACAATCAATCGGACAGTATGTTTGAAACCAAAGACGATATACTATATAAAGATTTTTTGGTCACATTGTTTAGCGTCGAGATCGCCACCCGGAGCCCACAGATTGAAGTTATGCTACACTCGCGCACCGAACCGGTATTCAATTCGTGGAAAAAACAAAAATTACGAATCCATAGGATCAACGATAGTACTGTGTTTTTAGTCTATCAAACATCAAAAATACATTCATTACCCAAACCGTATCAATCKGATTGTTATGACTATAAGAAAAATGGATATAAAAGCCGATATAACTGTATAGAGTTGTGCCGTATTAGACAATTGAGTAGATATCTGAATGGTTGGCCGGCACACTATCTCGTTTATAACAGGACCGACAATATGATGATCAATACGATTGAAATATTTATGCGTAACTATAGCATAGATCAGTTGATTGGGGAACAGTGTCAGCGAGAGTGCGGCACAAAAGTCGAGTGCTGTTACGAGCACTACCAGTTGGCACAGTCATACTATGTTACCGGTGCCAAAACATTTGAATTTCAGGTATTTCCTCCACAGTATCTGTCACTAGTGTTCTCTCAGTCGCCGAAGTTATCATTTGAAGAGTTTGTATCGTTTATCGGAAGTCTTATGAGCCTATGGTTTGGCCTATCGATTGTTATGTTATCTACCGGACTGTCGTTTGTGGTACAGTGTCTTTATGCACACACAGTTGGCACAGTTAGTATTAACTTGAAATTAAAAAACAAATATTTTAATTTTACGCCMAAAATGCGTAAAACTAAAGTTTTTCCGTTTCATACAAATATATGATTAGAAACCTATTAAGAGTCTATTATATATGRAAAATATGTTTATATATAGTATGTATGTGTGTTTGTTTTATTTGTAAATTAAAATACAATATTTTATAACAGTATATAACTTTTATTATTTTGTTTTTTATATTACAACTAACATAATTTAAATCATATATATATWTTTTTCAAAATCAAAACATTTATTACTCTATTATTTTCAATGATTAATCTTTACTTTATATTTAAACAAATAAAAATAAAATGTAAATGAAAAACATTTCCTATTACAATGTAAATATTAACCTATCAACTATTTTTATTATACAGTAGTTGATATAAAAATCAATAAAAATTTTTATTTTATTTGTAAATGTGTGATTGTATTTTAAAAATATACGTATTATTTTATACATGAAATAAAAATCATTATATTTTATTCTAGATATCAATATAAAAATTATATAATTTATTTGTATTATTAATTAAAAATTATAATTTTGTTATATTATGTTCTAATCTGATAAATAAATATAATAAATAAGATTTTGTATATAAATTAATATTGAATACTAAATATAATAAATATTAAAGTTATTATCAAAGTTATCTAAAAAATAATTACAAATATTGACAAATTAATTATTAAAAAAACTATGATAAATAAACCTATTTGTCAACAAGTTATCCATAAAACTATATGTTTATTATTTTTCACRACATGTTTGTCAATATGTATGTACCAAATGTCCAAAATATGTGGTTTGTATTTCTCATACTTGACCACAACRACAGTGGGTTACGAAAAAATATCGACCATATCGTTGCCAGCAATMACTATATGTTCACAAAAGCGATACCTATTATACGATGCCATACGACACAACTTGATTAGCACTAACAGCTCGAGTAGGTCGTCGACAACTACTAACCCACTGAATACATCATTTAACGATTATCTGAATTATACAAACTCACTGTCCATTAGACAACAATTTAACGTTTTATATACAACATTGGATGTGTTTAACAATTCGTGTACAATAAAGAAACCGTTGGCTTTTGAAGATAAAAACATAAAYGAGTTTTACTTTCCGTGTCATGAATTGTCACCAATACTACAGTCCATCGATTACTACAAATCATGTTTTACGTTCTTCTCGCAGACAAATATGTCGGACAACCGACGATTTGAAACCCGCGACGACATACTATATAAAGATTATTTGGTCGGACTCTTTGATGTGGACATTGCAGACAGTATTCCCGAAATAGAGGTCATACTGAGTTCACGCAACGAACCGATATATAACTCGTGGAAAAAATTGAAACAAAGAGTCCGTCGAGTTTTGAACAATACTTTGTTTGTCACTTACCAAAAGTCACGTATAGATCTGTTACCCAAACCGTATGAAACCGATTGCTATGATTATAGTAATAGTGGAAAACAATTTAAATATAAATATAATTGCATTGAATTGTGTCGTATACGTGAAATGAGAAGTAAAATCAATGGCCACTGGCCGGGCAACTATCTGGTATATGAGCCCAGTGACYAYCTGATGATTCATATGTTTGATTTGTTTGGCTATTATCCACAATTGGATTATCAAATTAGCCGAATATGTCTGCAAGAGTGTGGTCGTCRACAGGACTGTCACAAAGAGTATTACACAATAACCAGTGGTCACTACAAGTCCAGTGTTCAGACATTTCATTTCCGTGTTTATCCGCCCGAACTGACAACACTGGTCTACTCACAGTCGCCAAAAATGTCAACTGAAGAGTTTGTCTCATTCATCGGTTCATTGATGAGCCTATGGTTTGGCTTATCTATCATTGCTTTGCCGACTGGACTCAGTCGTACGGTTCGGTTTGTGGGTAACAAAATTATGACTTATCTCGGACTACACATAAAATCAATTAATAACTATACTTTTAATATGAATGTCAAAATCAAAACAGTTAATAACAGTCCAATTAAAACAATTAAAATTAACAATTATTTCTAATAAATTTTAATTTTCCCAGTTTTTTGCTTAAAATATATTAAATACATGATATTAATATTTAATATGTAATCTATTGCACATTATCTTTCAAATAAACTAAACATCTTTAATAATATGCTAAGTAAACATAACTATAAAAAATTATAATAAAATTGTAAATCTATATGCATTTTAATAAAAACATTTTGGACACAAATAAATCAGTAAATAATTAATTGACTTTTTTTAAAAAAAAACAAACTACTAAATTTATAAACAGGTATTTACTGATATCATTTAAAATTAATTTCATGAAAAAACATACAGAAAATTTATTTAAAGCGATACTTTGAAAAATGTTATATAAAGTTTTTTAGTATTATTATTGTAATTATTAAATTATTGATATTTAATTGAAATTTAAAAAAAATATTGACATATTAATCAATTATAATATTTTTGCTAAAGTTATTTCTAACTAATTCTCATAAACTATTTCTAAGCTAAAGTTATGGCTAAAGAATCGATTAATTATTGAATGTTTATATCGCATGGTTTGACCAAATGTTTAAATTTGTGATTATTTTTTTCAATTTTAGTGTCAAACAACTGATACTAAAAAATATTTAGTCAATAATAGTGTTATCAATTGTCAAAATAATATCGTTTCAATTTCCTGTGAAACTTTAATAACTGTACTGTAATATTGTTGCAAAACGTGAATATAATTATTGCATAATAAAATTGCATTATTAATATAATCGGTTTATTAATTAAAAAATTATTAAATATCTATATTAATAAAATATTGTTGTATTGATTAACGCGTGAAACAAACAATTTTTTAATTGTAAATCATATATTAGTATTAAATATGATTTAACTGTTATTTAAATATTTAAAATTTCCAACCGATTTAAATTCAAATCATTTTTATACAAATTGTTAATCAAACCAATCAACAGATAATTATAAAAGACTTCCGATCTTTAGATTTAATTTAGTTTTTGGACAATAAGTTAGAGATTAAAATAAGATAATTAAGATAAACATACAATCGGTTGATAATATGTCGGACAACAGTAGTGTCCGCAACAACATCTCAGACAACACCAGATATGACAGTATTCTAAAGTCTTTGATTGAAAACCCGTACGCATTGGATGCCATTTGTCGGCAAATGGACATAAAATCGTTGGCCAACTGTATTGCGGTGAACCGTGAGTTTCACGACGCCGCCCAAAAAGAGATGGAAAGACGGCCCGGTTTGAAGCACCTGTTTTTGAGACACAATCAGGATATTCATGAAGATATGCGTCCGTTTGCCAATGCGATGACCAATTGGATCAACTCGTCCATAGAATTCAAACCGTGTTTTGCATTCATTCAATTCGGTGGTTATAAGCACTCACCGGATTATCGCAAATGGATCAACACTCTGACCAAACTGACGGCTGGCCTTCCAAATGGGTGTCAAATTATGTATTTGGATGTCGGCCCGACTGTCCGATTGTGCGGTCAGTCACACAATTCAATGACCATTGCAACGACCTCTGCAAACAACCAATTAGTTGTCAATCCGATGATAAGATCGAGTGAGTGTTTTCTCAACAAATATTTCAAATACTTTTCATAAACTAATCATTTCTTTAATTGATTGTCTATTCAAACAAATACAAAGGTATGTCGTGTTTGTTAGTTTCTGACATAAAGGGTATTCAAATCAACACATATCGAGCATTGGACGACATCGTGGACACGAGTGATATAAAATGCATACTCTATTTGAAGTCATCCAAAGTGATCAACCGATCGGCGCAGTTGTCCACTATTGTTAGGGATGTTGACAACGAAATACGCGTTCTTAAGCAAAGATTCAACGGACAAGTGGTCATCGGTGGCGGACTTATTAGTGCCGCAAAGTGTTGGTTGAAAGGCGAACCACCTCGTGTTGTCCCCGACTTAAAAAAACCGAATAATAAGCGTCGAGGACTGGATGAAACAGTTTTGACCGATCCATGTATTATAACTTTTAGAGGACCAAACATATTGGCGGCCAGTTTGGTCCTTCCCTCGAGTCATTATTATCTCAATAATACCATCTCTCAGTTCAAAGCTCGACTGAACCCACAGTTCACAAAAAACAGCCCGAAGTCTATAACTCAGGGAATATTGTTTGCCAGCAAACAGATGGCCCACAACCAGCACATCCACGGAGTGATCACTGCTCTCAGACAGCACTTTCCATCCGTAGCATTGTTTTCGTTTCGCTCTAAGAAGTTTATGATCGGTTCAATTGATCCAATCATTCCGGCACAGGGAGGACATTGGGGACAAAGATTTGCCGCTTTCAACAATTATCCGGACAGACCGTATCAGATATTGAGTCCAAGATTCAACTCAGTGTTAGTTCTCATTAACTATCATTTCAATTAGTAAAACAAAAAAACTACATTCAAAGTCATGGTCTACCAGTGCTTACAAAATTGTTGTCCACAATATTTCTTATACTTATATTTAATCTCTACTTAATTATAAATGTCMTCAAAATTATTTTGTTTGTCAAATCAATTTAAATGTATAAATCTCTTAAAAGTCTTTAATAAAAATAACTTTAATTTTAATCAAACATTTAATAAAAATTATACAATTATTTAAAAATACTGYATAATATACCTGTATATATATAATATATTGATTTTGAAAACATTTTAATTATCATACTATAAATAAGTTATGATAAAACAGTTGCTATTTAGCTAGGGTTAGCATTAAAAAAAATAAAAAATATATATATACATTTATTACAGATTATATCGTTTAGTAATAATTTAAATAACTGGTATTTCAACCATAAGCCAAATAACTAATAAATAAATATAAGTACCATAATTACCTATATAAATAAAAATTAGTTTCAAATATTATATTGATAATTTATATTACTATCTATTAAAATGACTAATAATACCACATATTTAATGAATCGATATATAGTATTTGTTGTCCACTACTAAACAACAAAATTGCCAAAACTTTATGATACAGATATGCCTCATATGACAGTCGACTCAATGGTACAAATGTAGTTCGTGAAAGCACTAGATTGACAATACCTACCTGTCCATTGGCACAGGCGAACAATTGTTCCGTAAAMTACACTCAAAAAGTTTTGATAACTATAGCCCTAAAAAAGACGCGATGAAAAAATGATGACAACATTTATAAGAATACATAATATCCATAATAGTATTGTATATTTATTTTTTATTTAATAAAATATTAATTATTTGATTAGTATTGAATAACTTGGATAATATTATAATTTTTATGATTATAACTTATTTATAAAACTAAAATGTCTAATGTTTAATTGATTTTTTTGTAATATATTTATTAAATAAAAAATTATCAGTATACTTTATTTAATGTATGTTACAATGTAATCATTGAAATGATAATAAAAAATTGTATTGAAATCATAACTTTATAAAAAGAAATAAATTGTTATAAATACTCTCATTAAACATATTAAGTATATTTTATTTATATATAATAATAATAAATTTTTACATAAAATTAGCTAGTTATTTAAAAAATTAATTTGCTAAAAAAATTAAGCTATTTTAACAAATAGAAATAAATATATCTATAAATATATGTTACAATTATATATTTTAAAAAACATTAACTATAAAAAAAGTAGCTATATAACAGCATATTGTTTTATCATAATGTTTTTTTTAATCTACAGTATAGATTTATTTAATATAAACAATTGTATGATACTCGACGCTATTTTTACTAAAATCATCTTGCTGTTTTTCATTGAATAATTGACCTCCAATTATTGTATCTGTAAATATATCAATAACAAAATTATCAAAWTTATTAAATTAATTTCATTTTAAAACAAAGATTTTTAAATAWATATATATATATATATATATGATTTTTTTATTTCAATTATATTTWAYTATTACAATAAAAATAGCATATAGAGTACATACCTGTGCCATATGTATTACACTCGACTATCATAGTCTCAATGTTGGCCAAACTATTGGCCCGTGTGGTCGACATGGATGACCTGATTTTGTTGCTTAGCCGACACAATAGACAACACGACAAATACAATATAGTGATCAATAGTAAGGTTGTTTGCAATAATATTAGGACAGCGCTGGTCATCCTAATATGATCCCAGTGTACACCATAAGTCAGCAAAATGTTTATCAATGTTACGCCAAATAATAGACATACAATCATTGATAAACAAATGTTGGCTAAATAATTGAAAATTAATAATAATTATTATAAAAATTGTTGTATAAATAATATACAGTAAAAATAATATAATAAAATTAATTTTTTTTACAATACCCTTTAATTTAAGGCACATATTTCGTTGTACAGTATTATTGTTTGTTATCTATCAAACATTTTTTAGTCAAATAATTTAATTTGAATTTAATTATACAGTAYTTATAACTGTTTGACATATTATAGTATAATTATATATTTTTTTGTAATTAAATGACTTAAATAATTAGTTAAATTACATCAAACATAAGTTCAATTCAAACATATTTGCTATTTGTTTACATCATTCATTTATTTATTGATTTTATTGTGTGTGTGTGTGTGTATGTGTGTGTGTATGTGTGTGTGTGTGTGTGTGTGTGTGTGTGTGTGTGTGTGTGTGTGTGTGTGTGTGTGTGTGTGTGTGTGTGTGTGTGTGTGTGTGTGTGTGTGTGTGTGTGTGTGTGTGTGTGTGTGTGTGTGTGTGTGTGTGTGTGTGTGTGTGTGTGTGTGTGTGTGTGTGTGTGTGTGTGTGAGCAATTTTAGTAATATTTAGTTGGCATGCTCATCAATAATTTATCAATGGTGTATACTTTAATCTACTACAATTTAATTTATAATCTAAACAATATAAAATTATATAAATTAAATTAACCATAATATTTAACTAAAAAACAATTTATATGCAATAAAATATTTATTTATTCTTATTATTAATAAATAAATTMAAATTTAATATTTAGTATAAAAAGTATTTTTATTTTACTTATTAAAATACATTATATTCTGTATATCATTATTAACATTTARATTACAAAATATTGTTTTTAAAATTAGTTTTAAAAACATATGAGACAAATTGTCTATTATTCTATAAATACTTAATATCTAACATAATTTGACACTGACTGACAATTAAYWATATCTAAATATTATAGATTATAATAGTAAAACATCACAAAAAATATTATAAAACATTATAATTATTATTATTATTATTATTATTATTATTATTATTACTATTTGTATTGCTATCACCATTATTATTATTATTACTATTACTATCATTAYTTAAGTTATTAGAAAARTTATTATTATTTTGTGYAATTTCTTCATATGTGGGCAATCGGTCAACATTTTCATTGATCTGTTCATAATTTGGTGGCAAATCGTCTATTAGATAACCGCCGGTATCACCGGCCAGTCCGCCAGTGGAAGCACAGAGACCATCGTTTGGTTCATTGATGGCATTAAAACTCTGGCTCAACGGTATGATTGCTGTAAATATGCCAATCGTTGTGGGAAATACCGTATGATAGTAATTGGTGCCACCATTWTGTCGATGTTGTTGTTGTCCAACATTGTCACCRCTGGCCAGTTGATAGTTACCCCGGCTAATGGTGTTGCTATTAYTATCTGGTGTACGGCCACTGTTAGGTGTGAGCGTTTGCCTTTTAGCAAACTTTTTGATATACAAATAAATGGCAAACATAATGATGGCTAATATACAAATGATCATTGATTCCAGTATATAGTTTGGGTTGGATGTGATAAAACCAAATAATATTAATAACAATATCATTAATAACATCACAAATTCACTGATACTAATTGATTCATCGTTATTTCGGAGCTCAATCATCTTCAAACACTGTATATAAATTTAAGCTAGGTTAAAATTTATGAATTTAATATATTTTTCCATAATGATAATRATGAGATTTTTATTGWTGACTTAATTATTAAAAAAATTATACACATKWATAAACAGCGAATCAATWTTATTATTAATATATTTAATTATTAAAATTCATTATAATAYTTATAATTAAATATTTTCTAATYATTTGATRTGAAATATATTTTCAAATTAAGTAATTGTTTWATTTTTACATTTAGTTATTATTCTACATGAATAGATTACAAYAAAAATAATAAWAATAATAATAAAATAAACACAAGACAAATATTATCTTTAATCTGTAAATAATTTATTTATTTATATATATATATATTATATACACACTCACACTCAATATATATAATTAAAAATACTAACAACAAAACTATAATATAGGGCTTTTATATATGGTATAATGATTACCAATGAGTATCAATTAGTAATCAGCATCACATAAAAAAAATTTAAAAATTCAAATAAATAATAGATTATATACACTGTAGTAAAATACTAAAATACAGTAATGTATAATAATGTCTATAAATAACGGCATTTTCATGAAAAATAGAGAGAAAAATACGGAATTCCTGGTTTGACTAATGTCTAGTSATTTTGTGCGCAAATGTGACCAGAATTTTGTATATATATATATATAATATACAGTWYAGTACATAGATTCTGTATATATATTTATACTAACTATACTGGTAAGTGATATATTGKTACAGTGTCTGTATAGCACATACAGTATTGTTATTATTATTATTATTATAATTATTAGAGCGGAAAACTTAAAATAAATTGTTGTAATATACATTTACTTTWCTAAATACAGTACAATATATTTATAGAAATTTTGCGTTAAATATTTAAGTATAAACTTAAATATAAATTTATATTTATATATTATATTACTATTATTGTTTGTATTATTTAAAGAGCAGCATTTTTGGCATTTAACAAATGTTTATAATATATATATATATATATATATATATATATATATATATAATGTAACTTTAAATTTGTAAGGTAGATGTATATATTGATAAATATATCTAGAAAATTGTAGTACAGTATTASTCTAATTGTGATACAATTTTTTGTTGTTATTGAGACTAATTAAAAGTATTTTAGTAAAGTACTTGTTATTATTTGATATTTGAAAATATATTTTATTAAATAATTATTTATTGATACCGTAAATGAATATTAATTATATATAATATTATACAATAGTATTGGTATTGTTTATTGTATTATTTAACTACTGAATAGACTATTATAAAACTGAATAAAAATTATGATTAATATTATATTAATATATAATATTTAAAAATAAGTTTAATATTAATAAAAGATATTAAACATTTATATACTGTAATTGAAATTAATTAAACAAAGAAAATWAAAAATTATGAAAAATAATTATTTAATATAATTATTAATCATAATTGATTTAATTGGTTTTCTACGAAACGATTTGATTTTAACATTCATAATACAGATATAGTTATTAATGGATTTGATATGTGGTCCGACATAAGTCATAACTTTGTTCACCACATACCGAACCGTACGACTGAGTCCAGTCGGCAAAGTAATGATAGATAAGCCAAACCATAGACTTATCAATGAACCGATGAATGAGACAACTAAATAACAAACTTAATTAGTTTTTATTATTTTACAAATTATACTTTTATAAATTTTTACATTTGAATAAAATAAATTTCACATTTGTTTAATTTTAAAGCATGTTATTTTAATATTTTTTATTAATCAGTTTTTGTTAATAATAGTTTTTTATTTTACAAATTATACTTTTATATATTTTTACATTTGAAAAAAATAAATTTAACATTTGTTTAATTTTAAAGCATGTTATTTTAATATTTTTTATTAATCAGTTTTTATTAATAATARTTTTTCATTTTACAGATTATACTTTTATATATTTTTACATTTGAAAAAAATAAATTTCACATTTGTTTAATTTTAAAGCATGTTATTTTAATATTTTTTACATTTGAAATTTCACATTTGTTTAATTTTAAAACGTATTATAACACATTAATCAGTTTTTATTAATAATAGTTTTTCATTTTACAGATTATACTTTTATAAATTTTTACATTTGAATAAAATAAATTTCACATTTRTTTAATTTTAAAGCATGTTATTTTAATATTTTTTATTAATCAGTTTTTGTTAATAATAGTTTTTTATTTTACAAATTATACTTTTATATATTTTTACATTTGAATAAAATAAATTTCACATTTGTTTAATTTTAAAGTGTATTATTTTAATATTTTTTATTAATCAGTTTTTATTAATAATAGTTTTTTATTTTACAAATTATACTTTTATATATTTTTACATTTGAAAAAAATAAATTTCACATTTGTTTAATTTTAAAGYGTATTATTTTAATATWTTTTATTAATCAGTTTTTATTAATAATAGTTTTTTATTTTACAGATTATACTTTTATATATTTTTACATTTGAATAAAATAAATTTCACATTTGTTTAATTTGTATTATTTTAATTTTATTAAAGTTTTTATTAATAATAGTTTTTTATTTTACAGATTATACTTTTATATATTTAATCATTTACATTTGAATAAAATAAATTTCACATTTGTTTAATTTTATTATTTTACACATTTTATTAATCAGTTTTTATTAATAATAGTTTTTTATTTTACAACTTTTATTATACTTTTATATATTTTTACATTTGAATAAAATAAATTTCACATTTGTTTAATTTTAAAGCATGTTATTTTAATATTTTTTATTAATCAGTTTTTATTAATAATAGTTTTTTATTTTACAGATTATACTTTTATATATTTTTACATTTGAATAAAATAAATTTCACATTTGTTTAATTTTAAAACGTATTATTTTACCACATTTTATTAATCAGTTTTTATTAATAATAGTTTTTCATTTTAAAGATTATACTTTTATAAATTTTTACATTTGAATAAAATAAATTTCACATTTAATTTTATTTTAATATTTTTTATTAATCAGTTTTTATTAATAATAGTTTTTCATTTTAAAGATTATACTTTTATAAATTTTTACATTTGAATAAAATAAATTTCACATTTTTAATTTTAAAGTGTATTATTTTAATACTTTTTATTGATCAGTTTTTATTAATAATAGTTTTTTATTTTACAGATTATACTTTTATATATTTTTACATTTGAAWAAAATAAATTTCACATTTGTTTAATTTTAAAGYGTATTATTTTAATATTTTTTATTAATCAGTTTTTATTAATAATAGTTTTTCATTTTACAGATTATACTTTTATAAATTTTTACATTTGAATAAAATAAATTTCACATTTGTTTAATTTTAAAATCAGTTTTTATTAATAATAGTTTTTTATACAGATTTATTTTAATATTTTTTATTAATC